AGAAAACTTTAGAATCACGAAGAATTTACGCGCTCCACACATCCAGCGCCGAGATTCGTAGGACGACGACCGAAATTGCCATTGCGCGTCTCCGGCTAGATTCGTTTACTTCTTATTCCACTTCCTCTTTCCGCGCATTTTACTACCGAGGTTTCTGCGGCCATTGGCGTCCTGGCGCAATATTTACGGCCTTGCTTATACCCGACGGCTTGCAACGCGTTTGCATTATTGACGCGGTCGGTAAGAACCCGTTCCCTCGAGCCCAGCCATCGTCGGTAATGATTGCTCTCTCTCTCTCTCTCTCTCTCTCTCTCTCTCTCTCTCTCCCTCCCTCTCTCTATCTGTTTCTCTGTTGTTACCTGGCCCGAACAATTTCGAGATAGTACAACGTCGTATTTGCACGCGTTTAAATCTGGTTCTCTGTTGTTACCTGGCCCGAACAATTTCGAGATAGTACAACGTCGTATTTGCACGCGTTTACCTGCGGCCGGTTGAGCAAGAAAATCAAGAAGAACTCACGCACGTTCTGCCTGTCAGTAACCAGGTTAATTACCTATCGCGTTCCCGCCGCTCTGCTTTGGAATTTAAAGCAGCCAACCCCGCATTCGACCCTAGTTTTTCAGAAGCTTTTGTATTCCTGCTCAGGTCTCCCTTTTAATAATTCCCTCGCATTATCGCGTGCCTCCCATCTCTTCCCGGGGCGTACAGTTTCGGTAATTACCGGTTCTGTACATCCAGCCGCGCCGTGGTTCTTCGGCCACGCCACCGAGAACTAAATTGAGTTCAGTTCCGTAGCGATTACCATTCGAACGACGCCGATATTCAAGTCAATCATCGAATGGCTATCGGCTTTCATTCTCCAATCCGAGGTGCTCCGGACGATACATCGAGCACGAAAGAATATCACATCGTCTCGCGCAGTTCCAACGATCGCCCGGCTAATTGACGAAGAAATATGGTAATCATTCTGGAAGCTTCCGTAAAGGAGAGCGAACGCGAATCGGGACGACAAACGGTATTTAAATCTCGGCGTCGAAGCTCTCGTTCGAATTGCAAAGCGCATTTACGCGTTACGCCGAGGTTCTGTGGAACCGCAATTACTCCGGATGACGTAGGAACGAAGACAACTGCTCCCGGAGGCCTGGACCCGTCTGTGAAAAGCAAGAGTCGGACGACGAGGGAAGGTATACGGGGACAGGAGGAGGAAGAAGAAACAAGCGTTCGCGTTTGTTGCGCTGCGAGGTTTCCATTTAACCGGGTTTTCCAGTCCTCCCTTGTCGCTTCTTTGGTGCCGTTCCTGTTCGCGCGAGAATAACAAGCCACGGTCTTTAGATCGGCCGTGAGGCGCAGATCCATCAAAAAGCCTCGGTAAACAATACAGCTGCACGTGTCTCTGCCCGGAAACACGTCTCACGCGCATTACGCACATTACGCGACGTCGGGATTCGATGGATTAACGAGGCTCGTGACGTCAGCGGTTCGGAAAGGATTCACCATCGCGTCGCGTCGTCCTCATCTGTTTCGTCCTTTCTAAGTCGAATATTGTTGTCGCAATTTAGCCAATTTCGTAAAATGGTATCGACGTTCCGTGACCCGTTAACGTTTGCGAATAGATCAACGCTGGCGTTCCGATCGATGCTTAGCAGCCGATGCTGTTTTTATCGGAGCCGAAACATACGCGTCGTTGAACAGATTGGTTTCATTCGTTCGGCAATTAAATGCTCTCTTTCGTTGGCTACTTTACGTAATCGATGGTTCCACTCGACCGGTCAACTGCAAAATTTTATTTCGCTAGCGTTCGCCGATTTTTCCCATCGGTACACGTACAATTCAACACAGCGGAGGCTAAACTTCGATTCCAACTGTCCTCGTGGACGAATTTTCGTCTGTAACGAACGAGCAACTCGATATTGTACCCTAGCATTATTTCTCGACTCGCGTTATCGAGACAACGCCTTATTGTGCCCGCCCGGAACACGAGAACGGAGAAATAGTTCTTGTTTCTTTTCCGAATTAGACTCGGACTTGTGTAAATTTTCGAGAGCTCAGAGGGCAGGGTCACGGGAGGCGTTTGAAGTCGTTGAGACTCTGGGGTAAACCGCCCGCGCCATCCCACCATGAATTCATTCGCACCCTCATGAAATTCAAAGCAGTCGTTACGCTCCTGGCACGACGACAACGAGTACGACGACCAAGAGAACGACGAGAACGACGCGATGCGACGCGACGCAGCGGATGGTGTACACCACGGTCTAGCTGTTACTCTCGTCTCCGAGATCTTCGATGTTTTATTTATAATTTGTTTATGTCCGCGCTCTCTCTCTCTCTCTCACACACACTTTCTGTCCCACCCTCTTCCGCGATTTGTGTCCGGTTCCACGATCGCGCCTCTCCCAATTTGTCGCGACGAGGGACCATTTTTCGTCCCCCGATCGCGAACGACGACTACTCCATCGAGCCGATTTCATTGAATGCGGCTAACCCCTGAATGAAGATCGAATCAGCGAAGCGTTCCATAGCCGTTCGATCGACGCGTTACGATTCAATTAAATCCCGGGCAAATACCGTGGCTGCAGTCACGCCGAACGATTCGAACGTACGGAATTTTACGGTGCAGTGAATCCACGATAATTAATGAACAATAGTGTTTCCGCGTTGCCACGGTAACAGCGCGCCCCTCAAAAGGAAGATCACACGTGTCGCGAATCGTCGCGAAAGCAATGCCTCGCGAGAGGATCCGCTTTAATAATTCCACAGTTTCGAGTTAATAGATCGTCGAGGGATTAAGTGTCGCTTACCGTAACGCGCGTGCAGGTAATTAAATGCGCCCGCTAAATTTGCTTCAAATTGGACGAAATCTGCGTCAAGTATTCAGCACTTAAACCACTCCCGATTCTCGCGCTGCGATTCGATTAAGCCTCTATTAATCCGCGTTGCGTACCGAAAACAAGCATCGGCCGGTCAGGTCGCGCGGTGAAATGATTTTGCGACTCGACATGGCTAGAAAAGGATCGCGAAAGCGCGGCGAGGGAACAGGAGGGAAATATCCCGAGAATATTCGTTGATTCGTGTCGATGAAAACACCTCTTTACGTTCGATCAAACACGTTCATCGTGCAACGATATAATAATACACCTGAAGATATGGTGCTTACTTTTCTATTATGATCGTCACGGAGTTTACTATGCTAGATAGTTACGAATACTTTCATTGCTTATTTTAATATAGTGTAAAAAAGATTAATTCACCCGTAAGAATTGAATTGAATTAAATACATGTAAATGTCCCTGGAATGCTGTTACACGGAGACTCGAGCATACTGTCGCCAATATCGACGATAGACGCGGCAATGACTGGTACTCGCGGAGAGCGCAAACAGCGATTATGATCCTGGGAATAGTTTCGCAACAAATATCGATAGAACGGTACCGTGTCGAACAGCTACGGTGACATTGGGACTGCCTTGGCAAATGCGCGGCACGGGTACGCGATATTCCGGGACTGTTACACCGACTCCAGCTGCCGTTTTCAGAGTGAATGTAAAAGCACGCGGTTCGCCGTAAGGTGAGCAGAAATCAAGGACTAATTTATTCGTTGCCCCGAATCCATAAACTTTAAACGAATCAACGCATTCTCGGCCGACTGCGCGTACATCTCGATGCGCTAGTTTCTTCTAGCTGACAACACTTTCCGCCGTAACAAATATCGTTTAAGCGTTCCAGGTTAGTTAACAATATTGTTAACAATAATAGTTAACTTAAATGAACGTTAAACTTTGGTATATGATTTTTGGTATAATGCGTACTCAAAGACGACACAATGTATCTAACCGCGGAAAAGTTTAGATGGTTGAATAGCTACCGAAGTCAAGGGTCGCAAAATCGCCTTTCCGGTTTGCAACGTGCAGTTTCCCAAGCGTATACGCGTGTAAACATGCAAACGGGTGAACGTGTAAGCGTGTAAGCGTGTGCGTCCGCATCTCCAAGGTGGTCAAGTGCACCTCTGCATGCTTTTCTAGCTGCCATCGCTCTCGCGGTTCCGGAGACCGCTTCGTTCCACAGTCCTGGCCTCTACTGTCGGCCGTTTCTTTATTTCCTTTTCGCCTTAATAATCCTACCAGACAATACCCCGCGAGAGGGCATTCTTCAATCGCGGATGTATCCAACGGAATCGTTATTAATTTTAATTAATCCTCGAAAAGGGTGAACGAAATTAGTTTCTTTGGTGGATCGCCAGGACTATCTATCTTCCAAATCCGCCGCGCCCATCGACCGAGCCCTTGGTGTCTCCTTCGTCTCCGGGCAAATATGTATTCGTTTTCAAACGCAAGAGTTAGGAGTTCGAGATTCCCCGGGAAATCTCTCGGGGAGAAGGGCTTAAAGTCTTCGAGTTTCAGTGTTTGACGAAGAGTACGCCGTCGTTCGTCGTCGTTCGTCGTCACCGAAGCAGCAGAAGTCTCGCTGTATGTATGTATAACCGAATAGGTTGCCACTGTTTACAGAATAACTTAAGACACTCGGACGTACTGGTAATGATCCCGCTTAGAATGTTCGACCTTACTTTGAAACTGACTCGACTTACGTTAGATTATCTGCAGTTTCGACAAGTATTACGCACCGGCACGATCGATTCAGTGATTCAGCCTCTGCAAAGCTTCGCGGTCCGTGCGAGACGAATCTCGGAATTTAAAATAAACTCAATCTACAGTGCGGAATACTTCGTCACGAAGGATCAAAGGGATTACACCGGGACCCGGTGTACACCGCCTACGTGTTTGTAACGAGGTTCTCCGTTCAACTTTGGAACGTGATAGCTAAGGCACAGTCTCAGATTTCTCTATGCAAACCGCAAATAACTTATTAATACGGTCTCCTAAATTGAAAACAGTACGTCTTTCCCTACGAATTTTCTTTTCAAGGACTGACCCAAGCAAATAAGACGAAACATAAGGGCCAATTTTTAAATATTCACACATGTTTTTATTTTTCTATTTACGCTTTGAACAAGATTCATCTGTAAACACTTGCACAAGTGTTAGTAAGCATAAAATCAAAGATAAAGTACAGATAATTATTATTATATAGGCGGATATAACTTTATGCAGTCGTTTAAATGTGCGGCCGCGCGTTCGTGTTCGCGCTTGGCAGAGCGTCAAGCATTTGCGTCCACGAGTGTCAATAAAAATCGACTCTTTATTTCAAATATTTCGCGCGCCACGTATCAGAGATGCGGAACCCAAGCATCTCACGCTTTGAATCCCCAGTCTTCCTTGATAAACTCAGCTGCCCTTTCTCCGATCATGTTTATGGCTGCGACTGGATTACCCGATACCACCTGTTATTCAGAGAATCGTAACGAACATTAAATCTGTTCCGTTTCATAGAGTTTCAGAAGCACGCGTGTATGCGTATACATATTTACGTACAAATGTATCTAGAACGTGGTATTATCTTACCCGTGGCATGATGGAGGCGTCGGCCACCCTCAGTCCTTCCATTCCGTGCACCTTCAATCGTGGGTCGACTACTGCCATAGGATCGGAAGCTTGGCCCATTTTACAAGTACCGGCCTGATGGTTTTCCGGTCTTGTGTCGTAACGAATGATGCACTTCCAATAATCATCGCTGCCTTCTTCGAAGTCACTACATTGTTTTATATCGATCTTAACCATTTCTATGCCGAGCTTCTTCATGGTATTGGAATTTGTCATGTTAAGTATAACGCGAACTCCTTCCATTACGACGCTAACATCGTGCTCGGTAGCCAGGTCGTTGCTCCAGATAAACGGTGCACTCTGCGGATTATTGTCCCTGAGCGTAATACGTCCTGCGAACAGCGATTTAAACAGAACCCTTCGAGCATGACCAGTGGTCGAAATGTTTCTAGGTGTTACACCGTGAACTCACCTCTGCTAGACGGGTGTAGATTGACGGCCGAGAATCTGATTCTTATTTTGGCACCGCCGCTGCCCAAGTCGCCGACCTGTGAACTGCTGTTGCATACGGCCTGATAGCCGGCATGGAATATTTGGATATCCGGATCGTCGGGAGTCGTATATTTGGATGCTACGATTCCTGTTACTTGAGCCAAGCCTGAGCCCGACATTGGCCCGGTTTGAGTCGCCAGATACTGGTCCACGCTATCTGTATTCAGTTCGTTGAAGTTAGGACTGTCCAAGGTGAAGTCCAGCGCATACGACTGATGGTTGTGGCAGTTCTCGCCGACGCCCGGCAGATGATGAACGACAGGGACTTTGACGGATTTCAGGTGTTCTTTCGGCCCGACTCCAGACAGGAGCAACAGCTGAGGCGAGTTTATCGTGCCCCCGGAAACGATCACTTCGTGTTTTGCTTTAACGATGTGTTTCTTTCCATTCTGCGCGTAAACATAATAAAACCATAATGTAAACCGCGCAGCGGAACCCGACGGCTGGATATATCGCGGCACTTACCATTATTATTTCCACGCCGGTCACCTTTTTCTTACGGAACAGAATTTTTGAAGCCAACGTGTTCGTCGCTACCGCAAGGTTCTTGCGATGTCTGAATGGCCTTATGAACGATGCGACGCTGGTCAGTCTCACGCCATCCTTGCTGATGGCCTGAGCGACCGTAAACCCAGTGATCTGATCACCGGTCATATCTTCGGTAGTGCCATACCCACATTCATCCGCTGCCTCCATAATACTTTTAGTGAACGGAGGTTGCCATGGGAATCTGTTGGACAAATCATTTCCATAGACTCGTAGTTTTTTCGAGGAAGGAGAAAACCATCGCGTTCAAATTTTCACGAACCTTTCGACCGTCATCAGCCCTCCAGTGCCGTGATACTTGGCGCTAACTCGACCGATTTCTCTGTTATCCTCCGATTTCTTGAAATACGGGATTACCTAAAAAGTACGGTCACGCATGAACATTTTAACAGGAGGCTCCACACTTTACGCCGATCGGACTATAGGTACCAATTACATAAATGTTATACCTCATCCCACGACCAACCCGTGCTTCCCTCTTCAACCCAACGTTCGTAATCTTTCCGGTGTCCTCGATGGTAAGCCATACCATGGTGAAGCGTATTTCCACCGAGATTCTTACCACGTGGCCAAGAACAATGGCCGTTATTATTCAGACAGGCATACGATTCGTTGGATGTTACATAGTTCCAATTCAACTCGGAACTTCCTGCTCCGCGGAATGGAAGATTGTTACTTTTCTACGGTTTATTTCATGGTCGTTGTGAAAGAAAATCGAATTCGTTACCGAGATAGAGTTGGTAGAAACTAGGCACTTCGGCTCCTGCTGGCTCATCAGGGCCCGCTTCGACTAGGAGAACATTCCATTTCGGGTTTTCGCTCAATCTTGAGGCGACAACCGCACCGGCAGCTCCAGCTGTGTGGCGTAATGGTAAAATGTGCGAATTTAATGGAACGCAACGAAACAACGAAGTCGTGTCGCGTCGAAGACTTACCACCGACGACGATGAAATCGTACGAGGTAGCTGGCTTACTGATCGTCTCGATGCGGCCGCATGGATCTCCGATCTTTGGATTTGTAATCAGGAGGGCATTCAACATCGTCAGGAACAACGAAGCATTGCCCCCGGCGCAAAGATCGGTCAACTGTGGTCCTCCCGCGTAAGGATGGACACACAGTGGCTGTGGCACGGCGGTGTCCAAACCGAAACTCTGAAACGATTACGATTACACACGCTGTTTCGCTTTCCGACTGTACAGCAACGACAAAAACATATTGTTCCGATGAAACTGTCAAGACACATTTTCTGACGTACCATACTGGCGGTGGTTCAAGAAGCCGTCGTGTAACAAGTCCGTACGACGAATTTCTCGACTGACTACCTACTGGTATTGTTGCTACCTTTTATAGTCGAAGGTGCCCGTGGACGACATGCATGGAACCGATAAGCACATCATTTACACTTTGTGCAAACCGCCACTCGCTATCTACCGTTTAGCAGTATTGACAAATTATGCATGTCAGGCAACCGTGGAAACGGTAGCGAACGCATCACAAGGGTGCAAGGTTGACCGATGGCTGAGTGATGGACAGCTACGCACCGATATATTTTGCCGTAAAAATTATTTATTTACAACATTTTGATTTACAATCGCGCACCACGTTAACGACCAGCGCGTTGCCGTCGTTACTTTTCCTCTGTGATGCTCGTTCGTCACCTACGTAACTTATTTATATTTATTAGTTGGCATCCGGAATATGCACGGTATTAAACCTCTTTGGTCATCACGTAGGAAACTATGTTAGATTGCATGTATGTAGTTGATAGAGGCGATGTCAATACGTTATTTAGTGTCCCGGCCAAACATGTCGTAATCCGATTAAGACAATAAGTGTGCAAACGGTATCAACAATTCTTCGCAATGAATTATTCGAATCTATTACACGGCTAACGCCCCACGTATGCGGAATTATACTTCTTGCGAATCGAACATTGCAAACGGACATTAGAGCCTAAATTTAAGGTATTAATAACATAATAATTGAGAATGCCACGAATCGATCGTTTGTTCAAAGTTATAAGCGTTTCACGATTAATTTTTAGTAGATATATCGACAGTATGATTTTGGAATCGTAGAGGCAACGGAATATCTCTGCGTGTAACTAGATTTTTGAACGTTATTAACTCAAATAACTATCGCGTAACGTTAATTCGTGTACATTGTACCGAGAATTTCGGAAATAGACCCGAGGAAGAGAAGGATCGCCCGTTTTTGAAACATCGTTCGTAAATTCTGCTATATTTACATAGGAAATGAAGCGCTAAGCGAAATAATATACATATAAAGTTTCAAGCTTTCGCAAACGTGCTGGATTTCAACGAGGTCTCTAGACAATGTCACTCGTTGTCGTAACGAGCAGTTGGTCGAACTCAACTTCCGCCAGAACATGGTACCATATTTGACTCGGTAGCACGTTAAGGGAAGTAGAAAACCAGGATAGGAAAAATATCGTAATTGTACATGTATTCGACGGTTGAACGCCGTGTGTACAAGAGTTCGTTAAGTTTCTGTTCCACGTGCGTCGATCGGCACTCGATCACTGCGCGGCGATGACTCGTGTCCTTTAAAACTCGCCTCTTTGGTGACTTCGCCGCCATCTTGGCATCGCTTCGAGTGAAACTCGGCTGAATCTTGGACTAGACTCGTCGAGGATCTTGACTACCAGACACTCTGGTCCCAATCGACGTATTTGATCCCCCAAAGCAATAGATCCAGCGAGCTGTCAATCGTAGAACGGGAACTACGAAACATGGCAAATTGCTAGTGACTAGTAATAGCGTTTCCGTGGAGCTGACATTATCCATGGAGGAGTATGGGTATGGTGCCCGTACCATTGCGTTCCACCAGCACCCCAGGCCGACTTGATAAACGCGGCTGCCCTTTCGCCGATCATTATCGCCGGAGCCGCCGTGTTACTGGACGTTACCTTTACCAATAAAATGTACTCGTTAGTTCGATTTAATTAAACAAGCAAAAAGGAAAAAAGAAGAGAAAATAAAATTAATTACTTGTGGCATGATAGACGTGTCGGCAACTCGTAGTCCTCTGATACCGTGAACCCTCAACTCTGGATCAACGACAGCCATGTAATCGCTGGCAGGGCCCATTTTACAGGAACCCGCTTGATGGTTCTCCGGACCAGTGTCCTGTCGTACGGCACAGCTCCAGTAATCATTGCTTAGAAATGGATACTGTGAACAAGCTGGCAGCGGTGTATTACTAAGCGTCATATTGTATTTCGCCATGGCGGTGGTGTTGGCGAATGACAAGGCTATCTGAATTCCCTCTATTAGAATAGCCACGTCCAAAGGATCGCTCAAGTAGTTTCCGTGGATTATGGGCTTCGCAAATGGATCGTTGCTGGCCAAACGAAGGGTTCCTGACAACACAAACACGGGATTCACTCGCGGTGCATCCTTTATAGTCTTCGGTAACGTTTAATTGATATTACGATACTAAGATAGTAGTTACCTCTACTCCGAGGTTGAAGATTCGTCGGTGACATGCTTATGCTGCGACCTTCGCTGCCCATAGTGGCTCCTATCTCGCCATTAGTGCTACACGCCGCTTGATACCCACCGAAGAAGAACTGAAGATCAGGGTGATCGGGAGTGGTGTATATCGAGGGAATAATTCCTGTAATTTGGGACAGACCCGTGGACGCCATCGGTCCTCTCTGAAACGAAATGTACTCCAGAGCCGATGCCCAGTTCAGGTCGACTTCGTTCGGCTCGTTGATGGTCCACGATACCGTGTAGGACACATGATTTTGTACATTCTCGCCAACACCTACGGATAAACGATATAGAAATACGATTGACACGCGACGAAAGTCGGACATTCCGAGGACGCGATGAAGCGCGCGTACTTATCGCTTACCCGGAAGATCTTTGACAACGCTGACGTTCACGGCCTTCAAGTGTTCCTTTGGCCCGATTCCGGAGAGTAACAACAGTTGCGGAGAATTGACAGCTCCACCAGAAACGATTACCTCGCGATTCGCACGAGCGATCCGAAGCTTTCCGTCCTGAAATACGCTCATGGAAATTTTAATCCGCGCTTCGGTCGATCGTATCGCGTTATTAAATATTTCATAGAACGGGAACAATGAAACGTGCACGCGTGAAAATGCATTTAAATATGTTTAAATGAAAGATTTATGCGTGACTGTAGACTGGTAATTAGATACGGTATACCGAAGCAATTAGTCACTGATACGACGTCGACTTCCTGCGGCGGTTACGATACATAGTAACTCCGTGTAGCATTGTTTCAAAGATAACAACACCTACTGTTTACGTCTATTTTAACCTTCTCGAACATTATACTAACTTGATAGTATTGCACGCCGACCGCTTTCATGTTTTCGATAATGATCTTGGTGACGGTGGCGTTGAGCGCAATCTGAAGATTCCGCCTGTAACGAAATGGTCGCAAGAAGGCTGATGCGGCGCTCTGCCTAACCCCGTTTTTGTTCATCATTTGGGCGACCGTGAACCCGGTGGGCCTATCGCCATTAAGGTCCTCCGTGATCGGGTATCCTCTCTCGGCAGCCGCTGCGAGGAGATCCTTGGAAATGTCGGGTCTCCACGGGAACCTCCCGATGTTGAGCAACCCGTCGGTGGAATGATATTTACGACCAACCCGATTGATCTCGGTGTTGTTTTCGGAGCACATGAAATACGGCAATACCTGCGTCACCGGGACAAAAAGAACTGTGTCGTGCAAAATGTTCCAGCGGTTTATTGTCGTGAATCAGACTGAGGGATTGGCAAACCGCTCTCCGTTAATTACACGCAATTCGGTGTTTTCGCAACTGGTGCTCGAGGGTGGTGCGTGAGTGCTCCAGCCATGCAGTCCGATTTCACTACAACTCGATTATGTACGATACACATTGTGTTTCTCTCCGTTTTGCTTTACCTCTTCCCAACTCCATCCCACGTTGCCCATGGCTGCCCAATTGTTGTAATCCTTTGCGTGTCCCCGAGTATACATCATGCCATTGTGCGCCGAGGTTCCGCCTAGATTCTTACCTCGCGGCCAGCTGCACGATCCTCCCATCGCGAGGCACGCGTTCATCTCGTTCACTGTACGGTACTGCCAATCGATCTCGCTGCCTGCACGAACCAGACGGAATTGATTATCGAGCGCGACCCATCGTGTCGTGTCGCCTGGGACGAGAACTTCTCCGTTCATCCACGGAAGAAGCTTTCGCGATACGCAAACTGTCTCTCCTATTTCCATCGAGACAGCGATTCCTTCCTCGAAGGGACGCGTCATATATCATACGCGACAGAATGAAAAACGTACCTAGAAACATTGCCACCATACTCGGAACCTCTGCACCCGGTGGCTCGTCGGGACCAGCTTCGAGCAATAGAACTTTCCATTCTGGTTGGTCACTCAGTCTAGATGCCACCACGGAACCAGCTGTTCCCCCTGTGTCAAATCACAGATAGTATTACAGCATGGTGGTATTAAACATCGGTACTTGACGTGCATCACGTCGGATGCAACGTAAAGGCCGTGAAGAAGTCTGGTACAGATTGCATTGGAATGCGGGCGATTCGACAAGGCCTTGGCCATGGTGTGTCAAGAGGTAAAAGTAGTTTCGCACACCATGCGTACACCACGAGAAACGTGTTTCACCTTACGTTTATACGTGATGCACGGCCACATTCTCTGCGTATTCGCACGCCGATGAAAGTGGAAATCACGCTCGAAATCGTGCTTTCTTCTTCGGAAACGTTCCGCTTCCGCGATACCCTCGTACGCGATACACGATAAGGCTTACCTCTACAATACACCGTTTATGTTTATCAGTTCGTTGTAAACAAAATATATCTCATGGCCATGTTGACGCACGTGTCATCAAAAGCAGCCGAAGGGTATTCCCTAGACACGCGACAACCTCGCTTAATGATTATGCATCCGAAAATTGTTATTCGTCTCGTACAGAAACTGCGTGACGTTATCAAATAGGTACACAGTGTGTGTATAATGTTAGTGATTCATGCAAGAAAGCTAACGTAGCTTTTAAATAATTAACGACCGTGTTATTTTTTCTTTGCGTAACAATCGGTGGTCGTGAAACGAATTGGTAGGAAATATAGGTTATTACATATGCAAACATTGCAAGTATTTCCTGAAAGTCTAGAGGACACTGCGCATTCCTCGGGATCGCATATGAATATTTTCAGATAAAAGAAAGTAGGAATTTGAAGAAAACTGAAGACGTGAAAATACACGTAAATATCTTGTGCCGTATAATATGCAAATGCACGACTTTTATCTTTCTCCGCATCAAAAATATGCAGAGCCTAAACATCCTAGGCTTGTGTCGCCAGCAAGAAATTTACGAGGCCTAACTATATGCCCGTGTTTCATAAGATTAATACGTCAGCTTTATGTTGCCGTGCAATTACATCGCGTTGCTATCACTTCTCTTAAAAGTAAATAATGAGTTGGACGAAATATCGTGAAATTTCGAATTACATACGCTTCGCATTTTCCGGGATTCCTCTTGAAATTCGTGTTAATGTTACTTCAAGCGTGCTATATCGCTTCGCCGTTGTGCTTTATAAACTCACAGTTTTATATAACCAAACAAATTAGTTATTACATATGTACATACATCATTCGGAGTGGCAATATACAAGGTTTCAATCGATCCACCCGAACGTTAAACCTGGTCGTCGCGTACACGTTAAAACGTCGAATCATCGATCAGCAAGGAAACGATTCGCTTGGAATCGGGTGTACTCGCTACGATCCTTCCAGACAAAGCCGGTCGTGACCAGTGAATAGCGAAAGAAACGCAACCGTGTGCGTTCGTCCGGTTATTCAGCGTTGGCGGTGCCAAGACTTTTCACAATTCTTTCCTTTATAACAAAATCGTTCAGCGATGGAAAAAACGACCGTTACAAATCTCGAGTTCGCGTTTCCCATTTTCAGAACGTGACCGAACGGGAAAGTAAATCCGCGTATTGATCTTGCCGTTTGCCACCGTTCACGAATGAATCGATCGATCTCGCCGGACTGTTTTTCTGCTGCCGGACGGGCGTTCTCTGTCATTTTTCGCGAACACGAGCGCAGTGCCGTTACAGCAGCATTAGATCGGGAGAAAACAGTTTGTCTTGGCAAAAAGACGATCCCGACGGTTGCATAATTGGTCGGTGCGGCAACTAACCAAGGTGAGCCATTAAACGCGACCGAACGGCCGAAAAGAACGTGGATCCATTTTCTTCGATTTTCCACGATTTCCCATTAGTTTCATACCCGCCTCGACAACCCTTTCCGGATCGACACGATCCAACCCGGCCCCGAACACCCACTCCGCGTCGAGTTATACCTATTCCCTGGGAAACATATTTCGATACGCGTCCGGCGTATACTCCGTTTCCGTTTCGTCGACGCGAGCACGACGAAACGCGCAGGTTCTCCACAAGCTAACGGAGCCACGTTATTTACGTTGTTCCGCCGGCAGCACCGAGTCTATCCGCGCATAAAGCAGCTCGGCCCGACTCGCTCGTCGCATATTCCGCTCGTCGATTTGTATCTTTACGGCCAGCGCTCTCATTTCTACACTACGGTGTATATTTATCGAGATCCCGTCACCCGACATAAAATTCATCTCTTCCGTCGTTGTCGCGCGCGTTCCATTGTCGGACACGATTGTCCCAACGGCATCGTAGCCACGGTTTCGCGTGCATCGAGAAAATTGTTTGAATTGGGCGGATAAACGTGTCGATAAATGTCCGACGGTATCTAAAATAAGTTATTCGCGATCGTGACAGGGAAGCCTTAATCTTCTTAAGTGGGTGCGTATAGAACGTTCAATTATCGTGGTACGTTACGCGAGTTGTATCAGCCTCGAGTGCCACGCGTTCCGCCCTGCATCTGCCCCAAAAAAGTACACGGTTTTTCAATTAAACATTTCAGGATCGATACTTCATGTCGGAACATTAAGCATTGAGTTAGACGCGGTCGATCAATGGAATTTCAATAAAGCCCGTGGAAAACAAATCGCGCGGAACTATGCTGGAAACGATGAAATTTTGCATTGATTCGCGGGTCGCCGTGCACCGATTGCCCGGCGGGGGAAAGAAAAACGCGAAAAATCGGGTATAATCGGGCAAAGTGTCGCCGGGCAAATAACGTTTTCATCGCGGCGATACGCTGAATATTCGGCGAGATTATGCAAATAGGGGCTCGGCGAACCGTAAACTATTCCGTGGTACGCGCCTCAGCGAATTTCATATTTTATCGTCTTTACCGGCACGCGTACGCTCGCGATACGGACGCCCGCCGCGATTCCGCCGCCTAGGCTTCTTTGGTAACGATCGAACGTTGCGGCGCAGTGGCGTCCGCGAATCCCCAATTACTGGGCCTTTCGGACGAACCCGGTTCCCTTCGATGATTTATGTAACGCGAGTATCGGTCGTTTCCGCGGTAGGCAACTTCCGCCGCTGGTAGATCCGACCGACGAAGCACAGTTCTTTGTGCTTCGTCTTCGAGTTCTCAGCGATACCCATCGGCAAAAAGAAACGATCGAATCGCGTTCGAGACGATTGTTCGCAAGCCCAGACTGTCGCCTCGGTACTTTCCATTGGCCTTAGGCAAAACCTTCCTTTCTCGTACATTTTTACAGCGTCCTTTCCGTTTGCGGTCGACGAGACCAGAAATGTTTTTAAAACCAACCAGCGTCTACGAAAGTTGCGCGGTTTCTTACGATACTTTCGATGCAACCGATCTCGTTCGGTATTCCGTTATTCAATTAATCGGACAATCGGCAATCGTTAGCCACGCACCGTCTGCTTCGAGCACCGTTTAAAGAAGATTAATCGGTTTTCAAGACCTTTGTCGTCGCGATAATCCGATTGTGATCGCGAAAGTTTCGGGGGAACCGATTCCGCCGGTTGTGATCGTCATCGTTGGCTCGTTAGGGACGTTCCTATCGAAATTCCCCGCGTCGTAACGCTATCTGCTGGTGGTTTTTGTCACCTTCGAGAATTTATCTCCCGGCGGCGAAACGCGGGCGTACGTAATAATGCAACGAACCGTAGCGAAGCGAGGCGAGGCGAAGCAAGGCGACGCTGCGCCGGAAGGGTGGCTGGAAGGGTGGTCGTTTGGGCAGGACAGCGATGAACCGCGAACTCGAAATGAAATTAATGACGCAATAATCACGCTAACCCACTGAATGAATAACAGTTCGTATTAATATCGCACCTAAACAGGGAACGATCTCGTTGCGTCGTCGGTCGTATCGCATTTTCGTCGCTGTCTGTGTCGCGATAATCGTCGAATGACGATCGGATTTGCGCTACCGGCTCGAGCGAATTCACGATAATTCCGTTTGACCTCCGTGTACGCGTAAACGCCGTTTACAGGACGTTGCAAATGTTTCTCGTTCCATTCGACGAGACTCGATCGTTATCGTGGTTTCCATTCATCCACAAACATTCGCGGAAGAATAATGCGCGCGCCCATATTCAATCACCGCGCTACGTGTAACGAGCAAATGAATTTATTTAACCGATTCCGTGTACTCATTTCGGAGGGCGTATCGCGCACGCAACAGTTCTCTGCAACCGTCATTCCCGGTATCTCGTGTCGGTTTTTCATTTCTACAAGTTATCCTTGACAATAAATGTTTCCCTACTTCGCCGCGGATCATTAGAATTCAGAAAAACGTGTAACCCGTTAATGTATCGGTAGCCGACCGAGGAATGAAACTCCTAATTGATTAAGTTCATTTCTCGTTATCGCGTTCTGCGTATACCTGTTAGATGTACTTTCCAGTTCGTAATCTGATTACCCGACACATTGACACTAGTATTGAGCAAATATGCTCAGCTGGATTAATTTGTCTTTTCCAGGCGGATATGAAATAAAACGGGTGAAACGTAGATATAGAAATATTTCACCCAACGTACTATATACACCCACGAGCAAACTCGCCTTCCACTAGAGGAAAAAGTGGCGTAAAAGAAAGGCCAAGTATGGAAATAAATGCTAAATCGAATGTTAATTTCACATAAATTTCAATAATTCTCGAGACCACGTGGTAGAAGGCCCCGTCTCCTTACACTGCTTTTTCCCTAGCGGAAGCCGAGTTTGCTCGCGAGGGTACCTACTACGATTGCGCGGTAAGCATTTAACACGATACGTACTCACTTGTTTTAGAGCAGATCGAAGCGGAATCGACAACGTCTCGTCGTGTCGCGTGAGCATATAAAAACCGCCTTAGCGGTTACACCAACAATAAACAGCGAAGGAGAAATCCAGCAGAATTAATTTCGACCGTCAAACCGACGGGACGGTCTAGATAAAGCTGCGAATTTCCACTGCGATTTTACGCGGTGATTTCGTCAATCGTGTCGTAAAATATCCAATTACGAGCTCCTTTTTTCTCAAGGCCTGCCTCCTCCCCCGTTTCCCTCCACCTTAACTTACTGGACGAGCAAAACGAGTTGCATCGTCGTTTGTTTCACTGCTGCCGAGTTAACTCATCGCCGAAGTTTACTAATTCCACCGGTTCTAAAGCCGACAAGACTGTACAGCCTGTTTCTTTCGCTCCTTTCAATTACATTCAGTCGATCGCGTTTAACGCAATTAATACAACGAAATTTCTCGTTCTTCCAATTACCGTTCTCTAATGAATAAGGAATGGTTTCGATCAGACCGAGTACGACATTCGATCGCGTCAATACAATCCACGAATATTTCAGTTCGGGAGAAGATGTTTCCATTAACGATTCCCCCGGGAAAAGGGGGGGGGGCAATATCTAACGAATCATATTTAGCCCCGATTGGACTCTTCTCTTTCCGTGTAACCGGGTAAACCGATACTTTGGCAAATTCATTTATTTCAATTTGTCCTTAAATTCTTCACGCTGAAATCAACGAGGCAACGGATTACCAACGTAAAGCCGATTAATTTGAATGTTTAATTACTTTACCGCAAACGGCTGCATATTGCACGTAGGTTTTGTAGTTGCGTGTACGTATACGTATATTTACACATAGTCGACGAATATCCCTAGAATCGATCCACGGGATATAGTCATTTTCTTAGTCGACAGGCGGAAATTATGTCCACCGATTCGACGATTTGTCGGCTATAATTTTAGCTACGGTTATTAGAACTACATCGATGAAATGTAAATGGCTCGGACGCACGGCGGTGCGTTGAGTCGAGCTCGATTCGCGATTCGGCTTACGCGCTCTATTAGCCAAGTTTTCGAGCAATTCGTAAACTGAATAATCAATCGCGCGGACACGAAACGCTCCAGCGAGTTGCCGGTTAGGTTAGAATGTAGCGCAAAACATTCTTTCGCGTTTTCTCTCGCGGTCGACAGGTATTCGCGGGATGATAAATAACGTCGCGGTGGGAACGACCGATGCTTCGTAAAACATCGGTACCTCGCGTTGTTTCACCCGGCAACGTTATATTAATGCACGCGGATAACGTTCATCCCATTCCAGCTTCTACGACCGAAGATCTTTTTCCATTAAGGTCTATTATTATATTAGCCGCTGTCAACCAATCGACGAGAAAGTGTCGTTAATAATTGAGCTCGCGTACCACCGGCGGCAACGTCGACCGTAAATCATTCAGCGAAAACCATTTGCTTTCGTTACGGTTATTCGGGGGAAACGGATGAAAATTTGCAGCCCCGTTTCGATTGACATTACCGAATATACGCACGCGTTACCGGACATTGACGCACGTTATACGTCCGACTTCTTTCGAAGTATTCAAAGTTACGAGACGATTATCGGGACGACAATTCTTTGATATCAAGTAATCGAGCGTCAAATATTAGTATTGGACGTATTCAACCGGAAAACTGTGGAAACTAGAGACAATCGTGTATCGTTCGTTAATATATTGCTTAGATTGTAGGTAATAGCGACGTGTTACGGAAGGTGACAAGTACTCACCGCCGACGACGATGAAGTCGTAAGTGTACTGCGGCGGATCCACTGGCCTGACCCTCTCGCACAACTGTGATATTTCATCTTTCGCCCGGATGAACGTGTCCAAGAGTGTCATAAAGGTCAGAAACTGCGGACCCGGACAGGAGTAGGCGAGGCTGGGCCCGAGATACGGTTCCGGGCATGCCGGTGCAGCGGAAATGTTGTACGACATTCTGTGACCGATAAAAGAGCAATTATTTTGGGCGTCGCGTCGTTCTCGGAAGCAACGATCGAACGTCGCCGTTTAATTGGCCCGATTTGAATCAAGCTGCCACACGTTACGCGACTCTGGGGATAAAAAGCGAAACCGAACGAACGAACGAACGAACCGTGATGCAGCACAATACGAACGGCGAAAGATTCGTTAATGACTCGTGAATAGACGCGTCGGGAAATCTATTCCTTCGCGGCGGACAAACTGCTCACAGCGAATCGCGTGCATTCGAATATTTGCGTTTCGTTCGGAGTCTAGTTTTTGCTACAAGTTAATGTCCATATCCGGTGCTTGCCAATCCAAGTCAGGGACGTGCTGAAATCGCCTGGATCGCGTGCACGGACTTACGCCGACTTTCTCGCGGAAAAACCTCGCGGCCAGTGTTCCCCGATCTTCGATTCCGAGCTTCGTCGCGTTCCGGACGTCGATTCCAATTTCCGTTCCGGTTTCGTTTCCCCCGTATTGAAGAAACGGCCCACGGCTGACGTTCTCAGTGCCCATTTTTATTTGAAATCACACCGAAATAAATATTCGCATTCATTAGGAAGCCGAGCGAATTAATGCGTGTCTAACTAACCGGCCGTGTTAATTAATTTACCTCTAATTAACGCGGCCGCGTTTCCCGGGCGTGCACGCGCGCGCCGCGGGAATTAATATTTGAAGAAACAAGACGGTAATTAATGACAAAGCGTGCGACGAAACGTCAAGAAAACTGGCTCGACGCGTTAATACCACCCGCACCATCAGGGCGAGTCGAGCGTAAGCTGATTTCCCGCTGGTGACATGACCCCCGTTCATGAATGATCCCCACAAGATGAAGGTCCGTATTAATCGAGCTTTTGGTCACACCGATTTAAGTCTACGAGGAACTGAGAAACCCTGATCACAGCCTTACCTTGCTTCGTAGTCAGTATTCTAATAAATGGCTGCGTGTCGCGGTTTTTAATCCACTCACTGATCATTATCACCCGCGAGAAACCGCGTAAGGTTCGAAGCCCTCTCGCGGGAGCGGTGCTTATCGTTATCGTTGTTTCGCGGATCTGTTATTTTACCGTAGTGAGAAATCAACTCGCACCAGACGCGACATAAAAGCGGTGTAAGACGTAAGGAATTTGAGTTTTTCGCGGTCTCTCGGAAGGTGTTCTAAATTCGTCAAGCTGTCATCCGCGTGGGACTTGGCGAGGGGAAAACGATCGACATTCGAGGGTATAATAAATTAGGCTTTTCCGGTAACTGCGTCGGGGTAAAGAAGCCGAATACGACACAGAAAGGCATTCGTGAAGCCATTGCTGACGGCGACGTATCCATCAGACTTTAATATTTTCTTGTGACATACATCGCGAACTGTTCTACTTCATGAGAAAGACGTTATTTTATTTTATCGTTTCTCTACAACGGTTGGTATTGCGACGGTAGGTTTTCGTGACGTTTTGTCGCAAGCGTTATCGTCGTACATGCGAGTCCGGCGTATGTTTCTAAAATGCAACGATTATTTTATCATTCGACTGCTCTGTGAGAAGCGACGCGCGACGGTAATCACGATTTAGTAATATTTCATTGTTTGCCGTTCTCGAGAGTGCAACGCTGCGCCGCGGGAACCTAGAGTGTATAACTGCGAGGATTTTCTGCCGCGCTTTTTCCGAGGCTCAGATTAACCGACAACAGAAAATGCTGTTCATTTTGCTAGCACGCTCGTTCAATTTGAAATTACGCTTACGAAGAGAAACGCACCGCGGGCAGCAATCGAACATTGCGATAGCTTAACGATTTCTGTCCTATTTTTCTAAACCTGTAATCACTATCGACCGGTCGTTCACCTTACCTGAAAATGTCACCGAATAATCAACGGCTAGAAACTGTTATCCAACGTTCGATCAATAAGCGACTGCCACACTCTCCGTATTGATGTGCACAACGGATAAACACAATAAACGCGTGATAGGGCAGGAGATCGCACGCGAGGTACAGCCTCGTAGCTACGAGCGCGCAAGGTGTAACTGTAAAACCTCTCACCGTAGAACGTCTTTTTATAATTCATCTCCCACCGCGTTCTTCTATTCCCCGTCGTAGTTACGCTATTCTCCTTCCCGCGAAAATCTTCGGAAGTTTTTCGGCGACTCCTTCGATTTGAAAATCCATTGTCTTATCGAAGGTCAGGATCGTTCGATTGTCGTTGATTCGCGCATCGCGTATTTTCCACAGTGTAGTCCCGCGACTCACCACAGGATTCTTCCCGGTTCGTTACGAACAATTCTTAACACGGCCTTCGGTTTTTCTCATTTATTTCTTTCCATCGATCTCTGACAATTTAATAGCATTTGACTAATCACGATGCCTCTGATCGTTCCCTTGTATTCAAAGAGAATCGCTGACCCAACGTGCAAAGGAACGAACATTCGCGAAAAGAACTGTTCGGAACGTTCACAATTCGCACCTAGAACCTCGAGATTATCAACGGTAGTGAAATATCGATCACCGTCGTTTATTTCGGGGGTCTTCGCGACTCGATCTTTCCGTTGAAATTACTAACGGGTGGAACATTTTCCGCGGGTCTTGCGTGCGCTTGTTGCGTTAATAAACCGTGATTCACTGGTTATTTCGTATCGAACACGCCTGGAATATAATGATACGAGTACGCTCACGTACTATCGGTCCCTCTGAATCGAATTCATTGACCACGGATACGTGACATCTGATATACAGGATCGGTAACTCTTCCGCCGCAAACCGTTTGCACCAGCGTTTCGTCAGCATAACGGCGGAAACGGCCACCATCGAAATTACAGCGTTCGAAACGTGTCGGCGATTTTTGTCGCGATTATCTATCGTCTATCCAGCGTCCATCGATTCGACGGAGTCGCGAGATCGAAGACTTAACTCAAGTTCCTAACTGATTCTACCTACAATAGGATCCGTAATCAGTACATATCGAATGCTGTTATCTCTTCTAAGGAAATGATTGTCCATAAGCTTCTTCGCGTGTACCATTCTGTCCGTAAAATAATGGAACAAATTTAGCAATGAACAAAACAAAGCGATGGGCGAACATTTTTAGTCACGGTTTATCGTCTTGGCGTGACTTCGAACGTTCCCTTGAAGGCATCTTTCGAAGAGGGCTCGGTGCAGCAATCGGCGAACGATTTCCCACGCTAAGTAGACAAAGAATCGTCGTGGATTCGTGAACTCGCATCGCTCCGACGTGAATCGCGTAGGTTACAGTCTAGTCGGTTGAAGAGAAATTATAATTCCCACGAAACTCGGAGCGTCGCTGGACAATCGTATTTATCGTACTTCTCGAGCAAATCGAAAATTTAACCTTACGCGTCTTCGGGGAGAAACAAAGTCGGGTCCATACCAAGGCACATGGTTCAAGCGAAAACAACAGAACGGAACGTAAGAGAGGAAAACAAACAGACAAGTTTCGTAGTTGTCGCTGCAATTGCTCGTCGTTGCCGCGGTAATTCGCGTCGGAGGTTGTTTCAACAGTCTAGAGCTCGGCCCAATAAGGCGACGCAGCCGATGACACGAAACATTGCAGTTTCATTTGCAAGTTCGAGGGGAAACTCTCGACTCGCAACTAAACAGAGCGTATCCCAAAATGAAATAAGAATAACATTGGTCCTTTCCGAGGCTAATAAGTTGAACCGCATTGCACCCTGATCCTAAAAGATTTCTCCCGAATGACATAAATCGTAATTGCGCCAAATCAAATATTTATTTCCTTCGTCGAATCTGTTGATCTAAAAGAAAGCTAATAATCCACTTATTTGAAACAAAGCTGTTTTCGAAACGGATCGTTACTGGCTTCGTTCATGACCTTTGAAAATATTATTTTCGCGTTCATCCTCGCTCGCGGTCGATCAACAGTTTTTCCTGACCAGCATGCAAAATGGTCCTTTTTCATCGGTATATCTTAAGTGGTTCGCACGGGCAAGTTTTCATGCCCCCGACGTGACGAATCTAAACGAGTTAGGCGATTGTTTCTTAAAACGATATCCGAGCGCAGATTCCTCGGAAGAAGGCAAAAGTTTTTACGACAACGGAAGCGGAAGTACTTCGCGCAAGCTGAGAGCCATTAATACGTTCATTAACCTTGATTCCGAGTAGATGCAATAAACGTGGCGGTTGTTTCCGTGGCAACCGGAAAGTACCCACTCCTCTCTGATTTTTGCCGTACACGCGGTCCTCGTGAAAGATGGATCTTCGACAATGCCTCGACGAGTAAGTATGTACCTTCGATGACTCGTCACGGTTCGATGACGAACGCGTTTACGCGAGGTATTTTCCGTTTTGTCAACGGATACGCTCCCTATTGTTTCGCATCTCTGGATTCTCCGCTCGACAAACAGGAGACTCTTCGCGAGAATCGATATCGTATGATTTTGCATTTTCATTTCAACGATAACGATCGTAGGATCACCCGATGCCTCGCCGATGACGCATTAAAGCATCTTGCGCTGAATAAACAATTCCCCGCGGTGCAATGAGATAACAATTAATAGCCGTATTGGGTGTCGCCTGTGAAGATTCCGCGACGAGACGCGTCATCGCGTCGACGGGCAAATTTCCGAAAACGATTCACGCGAAACGAGCGGATTATCCGTAACGGAATATTTTCATTGAAACGATAGGTACTGCGAGCAATCCGTTGATTAAATTTTCCCGATTGGGGGTTAATTTTTCTCCGTGTGTTCGGACATCTGATAATTAAAACGCATTAGCTCGGCAAAAAGCCGGCAGTGAATTTACATCAGCATAATTTCGTGGTAATCTCGAATGGCTGCGAAGATCAAACGGGATTCATTATTCCTATCTGTTGATTAAGCGCTGGCTCCCTAGTGAAGTACAACGTTTTACACCAGGATCGACGTTGGGGTTCGATGAGATTTCAAATTACGAGCCCACGATTGAATTACAATTCGCTATTTAATACCTCGATAACATTCGCACGTTCGGGA